GGAGGAGAGCAGAGTGATGTAGCCAATTTATAGATGAGGATTATTAGGAAGCCATGATGCCCTGGGATTTTTAATGACCACAGAGAGTCAGGACCTCAGTTTTACGTCTCATTCAAAGGACGGCGCCTGTTTACAGTAGAGTGTCCCTGTCACTATAGTGGGGCATTAGGACCCACATGGACCGCAGTGTGATTGCCCCCTGCTGGCCCCACTAACACCTCTTCCAGCAGCAACCTTAGATTTTCCCAGGCTCACACCTGCTTAGCTTCAGTGGGTTGCCAGTTGAGAGCTGCAGAGTGATATGGCTGCTAAATGTAAAATATTAATGAGGTTATCTATTCCAATAAAACACAGGAGACCACAACAGTAGTTTTATTCTCATCCAACAAGGAGTCATAAAACTGCACAATAACTGTATCGAGTAATACACTCTCAAGCATCAATAAAAGCCTCAGTAACATCAATGTCACTTCCTAGCTTACAAATGCCACCTTGGGGATGTTCTGCTCCTCTGCAAGCACAAAGCAGTAACAGAAAGTCACGTGGTTAATGATAATGACGAGTCAGATGTCTACACTATTGAGCTCAGAGGTGCTCAAATGGGGCTCGAGACAGAAGACAGTTCAAGCCAATCCACTTGAGGCCTGAACCCCAACTTCTCACAGACGACATGTAACAGTCATCCATGACTATTAAATACAATCCACCCAGTGAACATTTTCAAAAGCTAACAGTGAAACATGAACAAGGAGACACATGTGGAAGGGCATAGAAGTAGAGGCTCTTCTTTACCAGCAGTCTTCTGATGCAGTGTTTGTTTACTCATTTCTACACTCATTGCATATGCCAGGTGCACCCTATCAAACTACAGAACTACATACAATACTGAACTGAAATCAGTGGGATTGAAAAAAACAACCTGTAAAACAGGCAAGATACAACTGACAAAGAAATGACAATGCAACTTGAAAAGACAGTGCAAGCCAGTTGGGTTTTTAAAGTGGAAACCATTTCAGTGTCTTAATAAAGATGGTGTCCAATTCTTTACAAATGGACAAATTAAAATAATAACTTTGGCATCTTCTTCTAAGGATTACAAGATCATTTATTTCCCAGCAGACACACGTTGGGTTTATACACAGTGTACGGCCTTGGGTGAGAAATTTCCAAGACAAGATGTGGACCACTGAAAGTCAAAGACCTCAATCAGTGGAGTCTCAGTAACATGGGAAGAAGCTAAAACAAGTACTGGGTACAAATCTTGTTGAATTGAGGGTTCAAAGCTTTTAACATTATTCAAACTCCGGTCCGTCCATGAGGGGTGAGTCTGGAAACAAAAGGCCAGTGCACACACACACCTAGCAGGAACTTCCTCTGATAAACAATGGGCTGCACTGCTCTGTTCTTATCAGCCACACACAGCACAGGCAGGAAGCCTTTGGGAAAATGCAAGAGCACCAGAAAAAGAAAATCTATCATCCATCAATGAAACCAAAACTGATGCTAAGAGCCAGCCTCATTTCACAGACTCCATTCCCGTGGTGCAATCTGCCACAAACAGCTGCAACAGGCTTTGATATGTTCATATCTGCTCTCATTATTATTATTCGGAAGAAAGAGCCCAGGACACGACTGCTGTTCTAACCATATTTGTTGTTTTTGCCACTGGCCATTAAAAAAAAATACAATTATAACTGAACAAAATATTATTTTTGTGACTGATTGAAGCACTTATCTATTCCAGTGCTTGGAATCACTTTCATGCTCTGTATGTAGGTGGACCAATACTAATTGGAGCCACCATATGTACATTTTATCAAATGAAAACTTCAGTTCCTACATGGTTTACTAAATTATTAGCACTCTGGTATTAGTACCAATGAAGATCAGATCACCACATTATTTTCATGGGATATATGGTATAAAGTAAAATGTGAATTGCAGATAAATATATTCTATGTTCTTTAAAAAAAACCCAACAAAAACACTGACAAAAACAGGTCTAACATGACATAATAAATAACAATTAAGGTGTACCTTTTTCATAATCAAAACCTTTAGTTGTACAGAGTCTGCCTTATTTATGCTTACATGTTTATGCTGCCATTATTTATGCTTATATATGGCATACGTATAAATGTTTACATACGTATAACAAAGGAGAGCACTCATTAAAAAAGTGTCTAGAAAACATGTTGTACAAAATTGCAAAATAACTAAGTTAAGTCATTTTGGAGTCTAAAGTTATTCTTGCATCCTATATTTTTAGATCTATTTCAAAGTCTCAACAATATGTTACATGTTGATAGAATAGCTGTCATTTTATCTTTGAGATCTCTGTGCTCAATGAAGTGCGTACTTCTGTCTCAAACTGCCATAGAAACCGCTGATTGAGTTGCAGCCTTATTGTTTACAACTGGGTGTATTCCATTGCCTATTTTCATTATTTAGATCTACTGACTGACAAATGAAGTTCACAGGACACAGAAGCTTTCAACAGGAACTTTTTTAGAGACGAGTCCCTGACCTCAGCTGCTTTCCTGATGCCTCACAAATGCGGTTCCTCACATTGAGAGATGTTAATCACTGTCTGCCCAAGATGTGCTCAAATTGGCCTGTAAACTTGCTGAGGCTAAGAACATTAGAAAGATTACCAATGACGGCAAACTATTCGTCCCATCTTGGTCATTTAAGAAGGGTTAAACAGAGCAGTTCTCATATTTATCTGCTTGTAGGGGAGTCATAAATTTCTCATTGTTATAACTTTTCTGTATACAGTACATAATGTATGCATTATTAATTATATCGTGTAAACTAAAACTGCAAGCTATCCGATTAACAGTAAGGTTTGGAAAGGCCAATCAGAGGTCCTGCAAAAAGAAAAAGTGGATATTGTGTGATGAACTCCCAGGGACATTTTGATTTAGATGAGCTATCAACAAATTTGTCATTTGATATTGCAGATGTGTTGTATTTACTTTTGTACTGTTTTTGTGAAAGAAATATTACAAACGTCACTCCAGGTTTCAAAGCTTAGTAATTTCCATTCTTCTTTCAGTGGTACACCTTGTGCTTGATAACACAAAGTTTAATAAATAAAGTCAATAATAATAAAGTTATTAAAGACGTTTAATAACAGATCTGTTAAAGATCTTTCTAGATCTACTACATATTTCTAAGGGCTCTATTTAAAAGTGTGCATATTTCAGGATTCCTTCAACACTAAAATTAAAGTAAAGATAAGAAATTAAAATAAGACAACCTAACTACTTTAAAGGATGTTTTACTTTGAATCGTGCATATACCACTTAAATTCAAAAACATATTTTTGTCTCATGTCAGCATGTGGGTGTGTATTATTATTTTTTGGTCAGAAGCAAAAAGCCCTTCTGAGGGATAAATACTGCCATATAAAGAAAAGAAAAATTGGAATTGTTTTCAGAATCAAAGAGCACATAATCTTTATCACTGTAATAAATCTCTTCATTGGAACAGCCCACTGCGTGCATCCCGCTGGCCGGTGGAGGGTGTCTGGGGTGGAGCAGGAAGCACAGTGGACCAGACCAGACAGATGGATGACCTCAGATCTCAGATCCAGGCTCTCCTCCCAGCAAACCTTGACCAACAACCCCCCCGCCTCTCGCCCCTCACCTCTGAAATGTTTTTGTCCGTCTCTTTTCGCTTTTCCTCCAGCTTCCTCTCAATACCCACAATTCCAACAGCCCGGGTTCTTCCTGCCTGCAAGCCAAACAAGGAACGAGGAAGGAAACGTTAACAATGCCTTGCATGTCTGTCTCCATCAAGGCCATGGGCACAGCATGAGAAACTGCCTTTACTGCATCAAAGAGGGAAAAAAAACATTCAGGTAACCCCTCTCAGCTTGGGTTTAGTTAAGATTAAAAAAACAAAATCACATCAAAGAACTCCAGTGCTAACTTAAAACAGTTCTAACAATCATTTAGGGATACCATAATTGGTATGCAAAATGTATCAATATGATTTTTTAACCTTGCATGGCACATACTTTATATAAGACAAACATAAATACATATGGACACACAGACCTTAACTCAACCTGGGAGAGAGTTTAGAGCTTTAAGATGTTACGTCTCAGAACAGAACCTGACCTTTTCAGAGCAGAATCTACAGTATACCTTTTTTTTTGGTAAGGGTTGGCATCCCAAATACTGTAAAAACAGCACCACATGCTGGCCGAATGATGCATTACTTTCTCCTAAATGCACTGACAAATGCAAATGAAATTACTATACTCATTCTAGATTTACAATAACAAAAATGCTAATTTTAAACGATTATTTTCAATTTTAATTATAAATCCCTGCCAGGAAAGCTACTAACTCCAAGTTGCTGGTTCAATCAGTGATTATTACACCAAGAAGCAAGCTACTAGACACAATATTCATGTAGTTGCAGACTAAGTGAGTTTCTCTGCCTAGTCACATTTAACATCCCACAGGTGAAGGCATGATGTGGAGATCTGGTCACCTGGGTTCCAGTACCAGTGGGAATGGCCTGGGAGGCTGGAGTCTGTTCCCATCGCCTCCGAGTCATTTCTTCTGACAGCCGCCTGTAAAACTTCACAGGGAAAATGAAACTGTGTGGTTGCTGCTATGACCACACTGGCAACTTAGAATTCGAGCATCCCCAGTGTTAGAATTGAGGGATATTTTCTTTGTCTAGTCTGGGTTTCAAAAATCTCGTTTTTGGGAAACAGGCGCATGGCAGGATAGAACCTAGATGAGATGTCAGTCCAGTGCAGGGTAGACACAAAAACACACACACACACAGTCCTAAGGCTAATTCTTCCACAAGCCAATTAGCCTACTTTAATAGTATGTTTTTGGACTGTGGGAGAAAACTGGAGCACCTGGAGGAAATCCATGCAAACACAGAGAGAGAACACAAGCTCCACACATACAGCACCCCAGGTCTGGAACTGAACCCAGGGCCCCAGCACTGCGAGACAGCAATGCTAACCACTGCTCCACTGTGCTGTCCACAATCACTAAATAAAAGTTGTAATTCCAAAAACATGTCTCTTTTAGAATTGAGCAAAATTAAATCATTCTGCAATAAAACCAAGATTTCAAGACATTCATCCATTCTTTCTTTTGATAAAGGATCTTAGTAATAGGGGATGCTTATATAAGGTGTTTAATACAACTAGTTCATATACTGTGCATTATGGTTGCAATTCACTCTCTTTCAGTCTCGAGGGCTGATTTACCTCAATCTGACCATGCTCTTTGAAGGACAGTTTTATGTGGGAATACTTGCTGTTTTGGTACGGTCCCGGCTCCTTATTAGGTGATACAGGGTGAAGGTGAATTACTATTTTAGCACTGTATTGAAACAAGAGAAAATATGATGGGAAGTTACAATTAGTAAGTCAAGAACAAAAAGAAGAAAATGAAATCAGTTGTGATGCAGAGTTTGAGCTTACGTGTGTGGAGTGCAACTACATTATGATTTTAAAAAACAGGCAAAGAGAGGAAGTCTATAAGAAGAGAGAACTTCTAATTCATTGAATGAAGAAATAAAAATCTAATTGCATTTGGTGCGCAATTCATCTGTAAATACTGTACGTTTTCACTTCTGAAACCACTCAGGAACAGGAAATCCATTTTTAAAACCTTGTAATTTTCTCAAGTGGGTAACTCTGTCAATACGTGTTGGCTGCAAAGGTATAAGTAAAGGTTTATTCCATGCTGAAAAGAGAAGAAACACATGGAGCACAACGTTTCAGCTGTGAAGCCTTCTTCAGCTGAAACGTGTTTCTTTTCTTCTCTTTTCAGCATGTAATTAAGCTTTGTGAGATTAGGTCAGCCTGTTAAATACAACTCAAAAGTACTGTATCAAGTGTGCCTCCTTTTCAGAATTCTGAACTGCAGGTTTGTTGTCTCTGTTTTCAAATTGATTGGAAGTTACAGAAAAGCTGCTCCAAAAGTGTCTAGCTGACACCTGGAGAACACTTCATGTACTTTAAATGCTTCTTTTTGATTCTTCCAACATACGTCAGCTTGGGTTTTTTTTTTCCCAAAATGTAGTAGACATGGCATAGGGGAGAGACACTTTACGAATGTGAACTGACATTCACTGATTGCAGCTGTTCCTGTCACTGGGACAGTGAGGGATAATGTAAAGAGGCAAGAAGAAAGGAGATTGAAAAATGGAAACGAAAGGACGAGACTGGAAACAGAAGTACTGTGACAACAGAAGAGCAGTCGGCTCCCTTCTACAGCTGCTTTTACCTTTTTCCAATCCCAGCTGCCTGCTCCTCAAAGAATATAACCTGTGACAGAGGAACGGCGATACAGCACTCCTGCAGAGAAGAGAAGGCAAAGTTGAGTGGAATTTTCCTCAGATGCCAATTCTGAACAAATAAATGTAGACTTGCAAAAGTAACTGAAATGTGTTCATAATGGCAAAGCAACTGGTAGCATTTTTACCAGTGTCACTGTGTGCAGAGGCCTTTTATTTTTTCATAATGTTATTTATTGAAACACAAGAGAATTAAAGAAATTCAGCACGATCATTTAAGAGTTTTTTGCACCGTGAAACGTCATTCCGATATGCACAAAATTCATAGAAGTTCACGTTGGAATGACGGTTCTATTACAACCATTTTGTATTATAGGGGGGGAAGACTTACATGATTCTTTTGGTCCCTCCAGATTAATCGGTGTGTACTCAGAAGAGCTGTCCCCACATCAAGCTTAGCCTGGCAAATAAGAGCATGCACAGGAGCAATTCAACAGCGAGGCATTTTCAACAACTAGTTAACAAGCCTAGGACTTTGTGCCTATGGAAACAGAATGGCATTATTTTGAACATAGCTGGATTCAATATTCATATTCAGGGCACAGAGGTTTAAATTTAGTTTGTGTTCGACTTTGTTCTGAATTGCAGTACTACAGCACAAAGACCACACTTCTTTACAAAGCACGTTCACCTTTGCAAAATCACTTTTTAACTGTAAAACTGTACGTAGGCTGCTCCGTGAAATGTTAATATCAAATAATTGAACTTCAAAACAACTCAGGACTGTTAATCGTCAATCTTAGATCCCCTTTTGTCTTAATACTAGGCCTAAATCCGGGGATCTCGGTCTATCCAACATGAAAGTAAGGCTGCGGTTTGTACCTTCTCATCTCCGTCATACAGCCTGACTCCTCTCTGCTGAATCACTAAAGTTTCGTTCATTTCCAACAAGCCATTAGACCACACGAACCGGTCCATTTGTGATCACTAACCCCTTCACTTCACTATACAATGGCAACTTCAGCACAAGACAAGACTGTCACTGTATTTTTGTTTACTTCCTGTATGCTGCCTACTTTACTGCCTGAACGTTTAAAAACCAGTATAACATTGATACAGCACATCAAAGTTTCTTGTGCATTAATTTAATTTAAATTCAATTATTTTCAAAATTTAGAATCAAAGGAATATCAAAAACGGATATGATAAAAAGCGAGAAGGCAGAAAAGGATAGACCTGTCATCATCAGAACGCGACAGAGATATGGGGGGTCTAATAACGCTTTCAGGGAACTTAAGTAACAAACAATGAAAAAACAAAATATATTTTTAAATAAAACTATATATCGAGAACCACAGCAGATTTTTAATTATATTACATAAACGCTTACTTATCTATACCATGATTACTTCCATATTATTATTTTCTTGGGGTGCAAATATGTTGCATCCGTATACCCCCTGAGTTACCCCCATCTAAAAGGGGTAAAAAAAGCTGACGTAGTGGGTCCTAACAAAAGAAGTAAATGCTTTGGAATTATTTAGGATTTGTTTGTGTCTTGTATTTTGTGTTTCTGGTCCACAATAATGATAAAAATGGTGCTAATGTGCATTTTAGCGTAATGCAGTTTATATAAGATTAGTTAATGTGGACCATATAAGATAATTGTCTTAATATTTTCTTAGGGAATGCTGTTTTTATACTTACTATGAATGGCTAACCCGAATCCCACAATAGACTATGTGGACAATTTGACCAATGCAAATGAAATATTACGTTACAATTTATTTGCTCTATGATGATGATTGGATTCGACATAATTTACAGACTACGACAGTTAGCTAGCTGAAATAAAGTACATTCTAACAATCGTTTACGGTAATTGAAGATACATGCATAGGTGTATTTAAAAAAAATAATAATTGTATTAACCCCAAACATAGACGAACAAATAACAGAACTTTCCTAGTAGTTCGTTTCAAGTATTTTACATCAAACATAAAAAATGGATAAGAAATCTTTTGAAATTGTACTGGACGAAATCAGAAAGGTATGTTTTTCCTCCTACTCTTGTTTGAAAATGTAATTTGATAGAGACTGATAAAGATAATTTTTTAACAGAATTTGCAGAAGTAGAAATTCTAATAGTAGGAATTTAAAAAAAAGTTTAAAAATACACAACATTTTAAACTTTTTTTATTGTTTCACAATGCTGTAAGCAATGTTAATCCTAGACATTTTTAATTGCTACCAAGAATGGACGTGGTAGTGAATAATCATGCGGTATTTTAGTCTTTGATTTTTCCTTGCCAACACATAAACACATAAGCTTTTCATCCATAAACATCTTCTGTTTGAGCATTCAAATTTTAAGTAAAATAATTCACTTTTAAAAAAGTGTAGGCATCGTATTTAACATTCTCATATTAAAAATAAAAATTATGATGCTTCATCACTTCTGTTTGTACAAAGGCCTGGAGCTTGTGTTTGACAGAACTGTATGTACTGTAAGTCTGTTGTCTAGTGTTAGATCTTTTAGTGCATTCAATTCACAGGTTCTAATATAAACTAATTGTCAGTTAATTAAACTATCAAAAGAGCTGATTGTCCAAAAATCTAGCTGTGGAATTGTGGACTACCCCTGTATTAATGTGTGTTCCAGATATTTCAAATGCATGGACATTTTCCATGACATTTAGCAGGGTGTCACAAGCAGGTTAAGTTGCAGAATTTTGGAATACTGATAACTTTACATGTTTCCCCCTTAGTGTGTTCTGACCGAGCAAAGGATTAAGGCCATTGAGCATGTGCATGGATATTTCTCAAGTGAACAGGTAAAGTACTGCACCAATTGTCTATTCACTTCTAATTTTAATCTTTGCTTTGTTTGAAATGATGGAAAAGTCTATTTTTTCAATTACCTATCACCAATTACAGTATGTTTCAGTTCATAGATACTGTTGCTACCCCTGTACTGTACAAGATTAATATATAGACTAGCCCATATACTTTTCCTATTTTTGCTTGTCATTCGAAAAGCAGTGAGAACTATAGTTTTTTGCATGAGAGTTAGTACTCATTGGAGTAGTAAAACATCTACAAGCTTATGGGTCAAGCTAGGTCCTGGGATTAGGCTAAGGTAACCCTGTCCAGTTCAAACCCACAGAGACCCAGTGGCACTTGGTCATTTGTGTACTGACACCTGACACTTAAGTAACCCTTGTCACAGTCAGCTAATGAAACAGACTGATGACAATTGGACCTTATGGCTCAACTAGCTCTCTCAGGTATAGTCTTTTATACATGAGCTAATAAGGACCCAGAAATTATTTCTTATAATTTATTTAGCTGGTCCACATCAGTGTTTTAGTCCAGTCCCGGCATTACAGCCAACTTGTGAAGATTGATTGTGGTTTTAAAAAGGAAATTGCTATTTCATTGTTGGCTGTTGTAGTGGATTGTTAAATTATTCTCTGCATTGAGTTAAGAGCTCATTTACAGTAAACGGTGGACACCAGGAGATATGAGACCCTAATGTATCTCATAACCATAATTAAGAGTGTTCTGTTCCTATAGAGGATTATGTTTAACGTTTATATAAAAATGAACAAGTAATATTGTTCCTGGTTTATTCCATGCTGAAGAAAAGAAGAAAGAAAACGCAACGTTTCAGCCGTGGAGCCTTCACTTGAAGCTCACACTTGATCCTCACACCTGAAGAAGGCACCACGGCCGAAATGTTTTCTTTCTTCTTTTTTTCCAGCATGGAATAAACCTATTACTTGTTCCTTTGCAGCCTACGCATGCTGACGCAGCTCCCCACCTGAACTACTTTATATAAAAATGTTTTCAATGCATGACAACATGGACTTATCAGCATTCTTATAATGTAAAATCCTTGTTGCTGCTGTCAGTGGCTTTAGCAGTTTTGTCATCAAGTAAGCGTGTGAGGTTTTGTTTTTGCTTTTTTGCACAGGTGACAGAGATGTTGAAATATTTCTCATGGGCAGAACCTCAGATAAAGGCTGTGAAAGCCTTGCAACATGTAAGTTTATCAAGTTTATCTTTTCAGCTTTTCCGGCCAATTCTCATCACTTACCTAGTAATTAAGAACCAAGATTTTGAAATCTCGGGTGGCACGGTGGTACAGGGTTAGCATTGCTGCCTCGCAGCATTGTGGCACTGGGTTCAGTTCTGGACCTGAGATGCTATCTAACTGGAGTTTGTATGTTCTCCCCGTGTTTGCATTGGTTTCCTTCTGGTGCTTCGGTTTCCTCTCGCAGTCCAAAAACATACTGGTAGGTTAATTGGTTTCTGGGAAAATTGGACACGGTGTGAGTGTTTGCCCCTTTAGAAATGCGTGCCCTATTTTGTTTTGGTATGTCTGTCAAATATAGTAAAAACAGAATCTGATTTTTCATTATGACTTCAACCACTTCTTCATTAGCTATGATTATGACAAACTGAAAGTGAAATATGGTTAATTATTGGTGTATTGGTTTTATAGTATTTTTAAAAAGTAAATCCAGTCTCATTCCACACACCCTTTGTAATTCCAGAAAATGGTTGCAGTTCCTACAACCAAAGTGGTGAATATATTAAACTGCTTGACCTTTACGAAAGACAAACTCATCGTCCTGGAGTTAATAGCACTGTAAGTACTAGGATTGTGTAGCACAAGCTAGGTGTTCATATGTGGGGGACTCAAGGTCCTGATATGTAATGGAGCTAGAAATATAGTCTAGTTATATATTATTACAACTGTTTGAAAACACCTAATATAACTATAACTATAAGTCAGTGAACAAAAACCCATTGTTTACCTTAGAAGCAGTGATGAATAAAATGATTAGTTATTTCATATTTAATTTCTATCACACTGTGAAGTATTGGTATTTACTTTTATCTCTTTTCAGAATCTAGACCATAGATGTCTGTCAAGAAACTGTCAGACTCCAAACTAAAGCACAGTTGTGGTCAAATTTTAATTAATAAGCAGTATAAACATCCACATGTATTGTATAAACCACTGTTGTACATTAGGTTTCAAAGTGAGATTTAAAAAAACGTGACCCCTGAATATTTTTGTATAGACAGTGACAGATCTTTTGCCAGGATAGGATTCCGTGTTGTGTCAAGCAGAAAAAATAGTTTGTATAATAATTGATACAAATACTAGTTGTGAATGTTTTTATTAAATTGTCATCTTTACAGGAATATCTCTGACGCCCACAATTACCGTCCAATTGAGGACCTCTTTCGATTTCACCTGTCTGAAAAGAAACGTTGCCGTAGGATCTTAGAACAAGTAAGATGTTGTGAGTCTGTCAGGTGCACAACTGTGCCCTTGTGGTGTCTGTGTTGATTTGGGCTGTAGGTACTGTACAGTATGTGGCTCAGAGACCATCTGGAGAGGAATGGAAGTGCAGGCATTTGCAGAGGAGACACGAGGAGTAAGATCTTCCACAGCTGTGTTCAGTCATTTTTCTCTAAAAACTGGAATGAACACACATCCGAAGGCTCTACTCTGGTAGTCATGAAGTCAGACTAGTTTTGAGGTTTTGATTAAAACAGGAGAAAGGTTATGTTGCCTATAGGTTTAAAAGGGAGAAGTGGCTTTCTCTCCTCTGGGTTAAAGAAGGTAAAGCACTGTTTACTTTTCCATGTGGTTAAGGTTAGAAGGAGGAAGCACAGTGCTGACCTCCCATAATTTAAAGTACAGTTTGCCTACCAAGTCAGGGTGGGAAGGTTTTTTACCTGGGCTGATCAAGTCTAGGCCCCGGTTAAAAATTTCCCACAGGTGTGTACTAGGGATATCTCCCAGAGGTGCATCTGAAATGAGAATACTGGTTGGTGAATGCTTCTTTTGAAATAATTTAGCCACTTTAAATATGAAAGAATGCGTGTGTCAGATATAATATCTAGGAAAATAACTAAATGGTGTATTTCCAGCAGTACTTGCTTCAAAATTCTGAACAAAGAATATTTATATATACTGTATATGATATCCAAACAAGCCACAGCCATCTTGGAGAGAGTGTGTAATAGAGATGCAGGACATTCCAATATAATTTGGCAGTGTCCAAGAATTCAATCTTATTGTGAAGAACTGTGGTCTCGGATTCAGGATATATTATGCTCAGAAATTTCAAAGTCTTGTTCAGTTCTGTATCTGGGTAATCGGCCTGATGAGGTTGTGGGAGGAGATAAATACTTGCTTAAAGTATTTTTGGCAGCAAGCAAGAAAGCTATAACACAGAAATGGATATAAAGACATCCCGCGACCAAAGAAAACTGGATTGTTATTGTTTCATTGTTTCAGAGATTAACGAAATGGAAAAATTAACCCTTCAGTTAAGACTCCAGAAGGAGGTTTTTGAGAGGCATTGGGGAGATGGGTTATTTGTATTACCTAATGATAATCATTTTATGTTTTTGGAAGTTTTTTTTTTCTTCACCCTCCTTTCTCCCCAGCACTAAACCATCTGTCAAAATGCAAAAGAATGATAAATAACAGACTTCAGATTCATTTATGTTTGTATTACTTGAGATTTTTTTATTTCTGATTACTGTTGTATGTTCAGAAAAAATCAATAAAACGTAAGTAACAAAAAAAAGATATCCAGACACTTGATAATACTCTCTATACATTACATATGTATTACAATATATACAGTATATATTGTACGGATTATACTGTATATGCTTGGCAATAGATTACCATACAATGGAAATAAATTAAAAAAACTAATCTTACAGAATTACGAAGTTCACCTAGATGGGTAAAACAGACTTGTTTTTTGTTCTCATTCATTTTTGTTAGATGGTTGGAAATGCTGTGAAGGTAACTTAACTTGCACAGAATGTTTCATTGTAGCTGATTTTGCTTCTCTGGTTTGTTCATTGGCAGGCTTCTAAAGTTGGCTGCAAGGCTCCTTTAGCCATGATCTCATCCTGCGGTATGATCCCAGGAAATCCGTACCCTCAGGGGAAACCCAGTCTCTTGAATGGCGTGTTCCCAGTAAGTACATACTGCACAGCATACAAGAACATACAGTAAGAACCCTTATACTGTAAATGAGAGGCCATCATCCTATGTAGACCATTTGGTAATTAGTAGGTAATTCATCCAAGAATCTCATCCTGCCATTTCATGAAAAAGGCCACAGTCTCAGCTTTAATAATTTGGCTGGGTAGCTTGTTCCATACTCTTATACAACTCTTGGGGTATAGAAATGCCTCTTGATGTCAGTTTTATGTGCTCTTCCATGTAGTTTCCACCTGGGTCCTAAGGTTTATGTTTCACTATTCGTTCTAAAGAAGATCACCGAGTTGTATTGGCAGTTGAAGTTTTTAGCATCACTTCATCATAAATATCCGCACTGGTGAAATCTTTCTTTATGGTCATTTTTATATCATGGAAAAACAATACAGTAATTCTGCAGTTTTGTTTTTGTTGGATTTGTTCGGCATGTCATTCAAACTGAAGCTATCCTGAAACTACATTTTTCTTGGCCCTTTGTATTGTATGTATAAATTAAGTAATGGCATAGTTTCTCCTATCAACGATGGTAAGGATTTATGCTTTCAGGTTTTTAACTAGTTTAAGATGTCTGGCAAAAAAAAAGTAAAACATCAGAATTATTTTGAAACTTCTTTAAACTTATTTTTTATTAGCTTTTGAAGTATTGGCAGAAAGACTTTCAAAGCTTTTTACCAAAGAGCAAAATTTGCTTTGTATCTGTAGAAAATGCACAATTTCCAACACTGTAGTCAAGTGACAAATGTATCCATATAGATAAATCAATTTTATTTCTCATACTGACATAGTCCCTTGATAAATATTTACCTTGTACAGACAGCACATGCTATTTTGCAGTTAAAAACATTGAAAATTATCTTTGAAGTCTCCATGTTGTTCAGCCAATAAAGGATTTTTTAGTGTGAAAATCACTGGGTTTGCAGTGTTATCAATTATATGACGAGCAGTATTCCTTATATTCCTTTCAGGCTAAAGGTTAGTAGCATAAAAAGTAAGTGAATGATGACCGTGAATATTTTAAAGAGTTAATCAATGTAGTCTGCCTTTTTTTCTATACTAGTATGATAGTTGTAGTGGGTAATCACTATGAAAAGAAAACTAAAGCTATGTAAAGCTATGATCAGAAAACTACTGGCTCTTCTAAATAAAGAAATAGAAATCACCCCATGATTGTGCTGCTTAGTATTTTGCAGAACCAGAGTCAATTTCAGTAGACTTCAGCCATGTTACCCTGAAGTATATGCTTTTACAACCTTTATTCTTGAGTTTCTCAGTCAGAACAACAGCAGAGGATTTAATTGTTTTTTTTAAAGTGTAGTGCCATAAGATTACATTTTCTCATTTTCTTTTTCTGTGTGTAAATAAAGGGAACACCAGCCAAAAAGGAAAATGACGACAATAACAGTGAAGGCAAGGGGATTGCAGCACGTATCCTTGGATCGTATAAACCAGTAAGAACTCAGTCCACGGCCCAGCTTATATCAAAATTCTGTGCTGATGGCCATGTTATCGTTTTCTTTCTTGTTCCTCCACAGGCTCCGTCTACATACAATCCTCATAAACCCGTGCCGTACCCCATACCACCATGCAGACCCCACGCCACAATCGCTCCAAGTAAGCCGTGTCTGCCTGTGTTTTCTTTTTTCATGTACTGACTCCCATGACCATGGCACCCGTCAGTTAGGGATCCACGCAGAAATCCGCTCAACAGCACTCAAACGAGTTTAAGGGTGGATTAAGGGGTGGAATGTAAAGAACATATGAAAACAAGCTTCACTGGGGGAAAAAGCTCCAGGGAAAAATAACATATCAAAGCTGGGCACTTAAAAATCCATTCCTTAATGGTATTAGGAACAACACTGAAGCACCAATATGAACATGCCATAATGATGTAATAGTACTTGACCCATGACTAACAGAATGCTGTAGCAACTAATGTAACACAAGTGGATATACTGCATTTTGAGCAGACAGGAAAAGAGTATTCAGACACATGAACTTAACCTAGATCAATTGTCGGTCTCAGAATCTTAATGATCAAAATTTAAAAAAACATTCAAAATAGTCTTGGGAGTATGGTACAGACCCACTGATTCAGATGCAAAGTCGAATTCAGTCTTACACCATAACAGCAGGGAATTATGAATGGAAGAAGAAGTAGTTTTCATGGGAGATTTTAAGCTCACATAGAGTGGGTAGCACTAAAGGAGGCTACAGCACCAAAACCTGAAATTGGTAGATTTGGCTATCGATCACTTTCTTGCTCAGTGTGTCGGAAACCTACTAGTGTGAATGTTTGTATTAATCTAGGGTTTTCAAAAAGTGGTATAGTGAGGTAAATGAAAGTGAAAGAACGATTAGAGAACTGCAACCATAATATGGTATACTTTGAAACTATCCAGGTAGACTATGAAGGAAATAGGCAGATCTCAGGAGGGGTAGAATGGAATAGGGTAGATATATATAACTGGTAATATTTTAAAGACTTTCTGCTTAAAGTAAATAGATAAGAACATTAAAATCATTTATGCAGTGGTACACATGCATAAATAAACTAAGAAAATATAAGAATAAAAGAAGCACTTTATAAAGCAATCAAAAAAGAAATGATGTAGTTGAATGAACTAAAGTGTCTGAGATGACACGGATTTGGCTAATGTATCAAATTAATTTTTCACTCAGGTTTAACTCAAATTTCAGTTTTTTCAATGAAGGCACAAATAACATACTTCCAACTGAGAAAAGACATATTTCCATATCGAATAACATTAGCATAAAATGGGCAGACATGTCTAGTTACTAGAAGCTGTTAAGATAAATCTCCAATTATACAAGAAACTAGAAATGATATTCATAGGCCATTGAAACAATAGGCCATTGAAACTATTCTAACAGTTTCTTGAGACTTGTCAATTGTTAATGTAGGATCCATCCATAAAAAGGGTGACAAAACCTAGTAATTGCAGACAAATAGGTCTCTCTTTTATTACTTGCAAGGTAATGGAAACAATTATTAGAACTAAACTAGAGAATCTGTCCTTTGGCAATAAGATTCAATAGGATGGTGAATATGGATTTAGAAAAGGTAGGTTTTGTTTAAGTAACTTTCCAGTATTCTTTTAACGAGCTTATGATGTGGTATATTTCTACTTTCAGTATAACACACTGAAAAAAAGATTATTGATCAAATTGCAGGCAGTAGATATTAAAGGTACTACATGTACTTGGATTAGGAATTTGTTATTAGCAAGGTGATATCTAGAAGGTCATGATTGATAGGTCTCTAATCTTTACTGTATTTCCTTGACAGTACAAAACTGATTCCTCCATTGCAAATGAATTGAGTGACCTGCTCAATGGAAATCTGTGCCTAGACTTAATTTCTTCTTGTCTTTTGACCATACTGGAGCAATGACTTTCAAATGTTTAAATTGTTGTAAATGTGCTGTCCAGTTCATCGTTTTATGCAAAGCATTTCACAGGCTTTTGAAGTATGTTCATTGCATGGTGAGAAGTAGGTTTGTCATTTTTTCTGCTTGGCCTTTGCTTAATGGGTAAATACAATAAATAAATAACAATTGTAGTATCTGCATTAAAATATCAGTAGTTACTTCTACTGCAATATTGCTGCTATTTTTGCTGGGTTACACTAGGCAATTAGTAATACTTGGAAATACATATACTGTAACTCTTTCTAGCAGTTATTGTCCATCATAAAACCCCTCTTAGGCTAGGTTAAATGGAGAGGTGACGTTTGGCATGTTTTGATATGGTCTTTCTGCTCTTCCTCACCTTTCCAGGTGCATATAATAACGCAGGGCTGGTTTCTGTAGGGGGGGTGATAACTGCTAGTGTGCCCCCTCCTCCGTATGGTGCCACTCAGAACACAGCAGGTACGCTATACTGCTCCCAGTGTAATGGCTTCAAAGCCAGCTAGCGGAATCTGTGGCTGCTTTTTAAATAGCACCAGGTCTAAACTACAAATGCTTTACCAGCTGTTTAGCTATTCCTAGCTGTTTTGTGGAATATATCATTCTTGGTAAATCTACCTTTTCTCAATTGGACAAAAGTATAAATCTGTTTATTTTAGCACTTTGTATTTTTTTTCTATATGTTCCACGTTTCTAATGTTTTGCAAGTCTGGTGTAAAATCCTGATTTCACTATTTTGACAGTAGATCGGTTCTTATTTCATGACATATGTGCGTCCCATTTAAATTCAGGAAGTGAGAGGCTATAATAAATTTACACTGCTGTTTATGAACACTGTGTGCTGTGTCCCCATGCTCCACAGGCCTTTCAAACAGTTAACAGACTAGCCTTCAAAGTGGTTTTGCTTAGGTTCAGAATTTGCTCCCCTTTTTCACCCATCAACTAAAGAACTGCTAAAATCTCAAAATGTATACTTAAGTAAAAAAAACTGCTTTGCAGAAGTCTTTAGCCCCTTTCACATGCATAGACTGATGGTGAGCCTTCTAAAAAGTATTTATAATACCATGCATGCAGTACAAAATTGAACAATCCTTTCATGCAGCCATTTTTTTATTTAAATTAAAATGTGTGTGTTATGAATGTTTTTTTTACCGATACCTACTGGCAAAATAATGATATAATATACAGTACATTATGGACTAGTATATTTGTTAAATATGATATTAGTTTTTAGCAGATTGTGTAAGCTCAAAATGGAACTTTCAGTCAGAATACTGGTGTTGATATACTTAATTTTCCAAATGCTGCCCTGTGATCTTTAATGACCAAGTAGTCAGGACAGCCTTTTAATTTCTCATCAGAAAGACAGTGTGCCATGTCACTGTAATGGGGCATTGTTTTAAAGATTTTAGTAATCAAACCTTAAAGTTAACAAATTGACCATTAAATGTACAGTATACTGCAATCATGTGGCATATTGGCTTTCAGTACAAGTCCACTGTACTACTGTATATCAGAGCCAACAGTCTCACACGTATGCAGACAGTTGGAACAGTTCAGTGCTCTCACTAAACTGCTAATGCTAATGAATAGCAACATGAATAAGCAACATATCTCCAGACTTTTGTAACAGTATATGTTTCTTTCTAAACATTTATCTCTTGCTTGATTGACATTTCCTTATTTTTTTAAATAACTGTCAGCAAATTAGGAGCAAATTCTACACAGAGCAAAACAGCTTTGAAAAATCTGTATAAACCATACTCTGTACTGTATCTGCACCTAACTTTCACAGCTTGCTTTTAAGTGCTTCAAAAGGCTTTTTTAACACATTTTTCAAGTTTTTTCACATTCATTTTGCAGTTTTTTCTCTTCACTTTTGCTTGCTATGCAGCGGTAGTCATCCACCAATGTGAGGAGATAGAAACAGCACGTCTGCAGTGTATGTTGATTATGTAGAAAAAAAGAATAAAGGAGTACAGGTATATGACTAAACAAACATCTTGACTTATAATACTGAAAAGGAAGTTCAAAATGTTCTAAACCATTTTTTAGTTTTTCTACAGATCTAATACTTGTATAAATGTGCAACCAAAAGGAATGATTAAAATCAAAATGAATATAGAAGCAGGGAAAAGGTCCTGGTTATGACGATTCACTGTCCAGAAGTGATTTCCTACTCTTCTTGGCATTTGCCCTTAATTGAGTTTAGTTGCCATTAAATTGGATTTCCATACTAATTTGATTTGACATCTGGACTGAAGTTTTTTATGAAGATTCTTTTTTTTCCTGAACAGAAAAAGAGGACAGTGCGAATCCCAAATCCACACAGCCTCAGTGTAAGTCCCCTCTTTGGAAATTACCATTGATGGAGTATTCTAGACTACTATGGGGGATGTAAGACATTCAGATGTTGTTTCCCATTTAGCTCAGACCACATGAAGTATCATCGGAGACATTTATGGCTACAGGTAGTGTCATTTTTAGATTGAATATCACTTCATTGGTGTTGCTTTACAATCCCGTATTGATTGAATTCACTGTAAAGCAGGGTCACCAACCCTGGTCCTAGAGAGCCACATAACTTGTAGCAATTTCATTATGACCACAAAAGCAGATTGTTTGTTCCATTAAATACTGTAGTGGTCAACTGAAATGAAAATATCAACACCTTGTAACTTTCAATGACGACAGCTGGCCATCCCAGAGGTAACATAACTATTTAACTTAATAGTCTGATTAACAATACCTCTGATTCCAGTCTTTTTTAACAAATTGATGATTTAAGACCTGTTGCCTTCCAGTACAAGGGTTGCCCATCCCTGCTTTAAAGGTGCCATAGACTGATACAAGATAAGCCACAAAATTCAAAAGCATAAAACCTCTCTTGTTACTAATTTTCAGAATTTAGTTTTATTTTCCTAAGTTAGTTTTATAGCATTGTAAGTATTCTTAACAGCAGTAAGGTAACATAAGATGATCATGAACAGAAGCCTATACAGGAATTGCCCAATTGCGAATTCCAGTTCCACACAGCACAAGGTTTTGCACTCTACCCAAGCAATCTGTTAAAATAAATGTAAGGACCACAAATGTATCCTGCATATAGACAGAATAAAATGGTACAGTACCTGAACAAGATATTATTTTACTAGTTCATTGAAATCTAATAGAAAGCAGAGAAATAAAACTTCATATCGTTTCACAATGTAGTATTGTTTGCTTTGCATCAGGAGGTGTTTGCAGTCATTGTTTATCAAGAGAGCTACATTAAGACAATGTGTGATGCACTGCTAATTTTACTACACAATACCTGGAGAGGGATACTGGATACAGTTGGTCTCTGGGACTCGGTATTTCTGCACATATGCCGGTGTTAGGCAGCTTAGCTGCACAAAGTGCAGTGGAATTCATTACAGCAGACAAAAAGCTCCATAAATAGAAAAGTTTACCAGAGTATAGAATAGTGTATCAGAAAAGGGTACCACAGTGTCAAAAGACAACAAAGCACAAGATTAGCACACAAATTCAGATATAACTTTTTCTTTCATAATCAAGTTTGCGAGGAGTAATATTTCCTTCTGTCTCTGCTGGATGTGAAATGGCTTTGCGGACTAATGCTGAATTTCTGTTTGCATGGTGGCTGACATCTTGTTGTGCACAGCTGAGATCTCTGCTTTCTACTGCCAGCAGTGTTCATTTGTTTTGATTTGACCAGTACTGCTCTCTATAATTGTGTCTTTGTGAAGCCTTGGTAGTATTTTTTTATCTTGGTTGGTGGTATGGTGGTACTTGTGCTCAAGCTTTGTAGAGAATGTACAGGCTCACTTCCCATACTTAATTTAAGGGTAGTTGGTTTAGAAAATAAGTTTTATTATTATTATTGCTGACAATAAAAAAGTCATTAGTGATTGTTGTTATTTTGTGGAGTGGGCTACCAATCATCACTACTGTCACTGGTAAGTAATAATAACAGTAATCACAAATTGGAGTACACAAGGATTTATAAATAGTCAATGTAAAGCAAAATATATTTTCTAAATTAGCAGGTTGAGGTAAACAATGCAATTTAATGTTTTTTACAAAAGCATGATTCTAGGTTGGGCCACGGGGTGGCGATATTTCTCAACGTTTTATGTAAAAGTATTTCCAATCTGTGTTGTTAGAATTTAGTGAAAAACAAAAAGTTTACATATTTGAGGAAAATGGTCACCTGTACCATATTCAACACTTTGTCAGTAATTCCATATATCCATATATTAACACTTTGTTTTTCTCATTTTTGTGTCCAGCTCTATCACGATCAGCCAGCCAGCAGAGCCACACCTCCAGCGCCCCTAGCACCACATTCTCTCCCCATGGCTCTAATCCTCCTACCCCTGTCACCCCAGTACCGGCTCACACACCCTCTGGCCAGCCTCCTCCGACCACCCCCATCGCCCCCGTCTTCCCAGGGCTAGTGCCTGTGCCCCTGCCCTCTCCCTGCCCCAGCACCTCTGCTCCTTCTGTCATCAAGGGGCCTCCCCTAACTGCTTCGCCCCAACTAACCCCAAGCCCCAGCGGGCATTCCACCCCTATCCCTCAAGGGTTTCCTGGAATCTCTCCCTCCTTGACCCCTACCCCTTCTGTCATTAAGTCCCACACCCCCTCTGGGACCCCCTGTGTTACCACGGTCCCCAATGGCTCCTATACCTCTGGCATGTCCAGATCTGCCACCCCTTCTGTCACCCCAACCCCTAAGGGCTCCTCCATCTCTGTACCCCATACTTTCTCCCCTCAGAATCAGCTCCCTCCCTCCACCCTAGGCTCAGCTGATCCTTCCCCATCTGGATCTCTGGGAATTCCCACTTCTGTTTTCAAGGGCTTCCCTTCATCCGATGCACAAGTGCCCTCTTCCTTCTCAGTGCTCCCTCCTCCTGCCGCCAGTCCTGCCCAGTCCCAGTCTGTCATCCGGAGCTACACCCCCTCTGCCACCCCTACACCCCAAGGTTCCTCCACTCCTGGGATGCCAGTTTTCTCCAGCCAGGCCTCAGCCACCACTCCCACACCTAAACCTTCAGCCATGCATTCCCAGAATATAACTGTCAACCTAGCAGGGGCTGTCAACCCCCTTTATGGAGCCAGTGGGATCTTGGAGCAGCATGTGGGAGTTCTAGCAAGGCAAAGTGGTGGCAGCAGCAGCAGCAACAGCAGCAGCAGCAGCAGCCCCGTGCCCTCTGCGTTCAAGGGTCCATCGCGCTCCAGTACTCCTTCACTCAGCTCGCTGGTGATGCCCAATTCTGCTGCCCTGGCTCTCAACCGGTCACTAGGCCTCAACCACTCCTCTGCTTCTGTCCAAGCCACACTCACCAACTCCATGGCAATGGCTGGATTGCAGGGTCTGTCTGCCCTGGGAACGCAGCCTGGGGCAAACCCAGCTACCCTCGCGGCTGTCACTGCGGCCTTATCTGGACATTCTGGCTTCCCTGGTGCTCCCTCTCTCCCAGTTTCCCTCACCTCCAACCCCTCGGCTTCATCCTCCTCTGCCCAGGCCTCCGCCACTTCCTCTGCCATGTACTCGGGCCTACCTCCCTCCGCTGCCGCCTCCCTCTCCCCCTTCGGCCTGGGCCTTTCCACCCCTGTGTCCTCCATCTTCCCCGGCCTGGCCCCTGGTCCCCTAGGCTCAGGAAACGCTGCCTTCCCCGGTTTTGCCGCCTCCAACAGCCCCGCCGGCAGCCCTGTTCTCTCCTCCTTCATGGGGCTCCCGGGGCAGGCCTCCTCCGTGGCTACTGTGGCCCCCTTGCAGGCTGCAGCAGTAGCGGCGGCGGCGGCGGCAGCAGCGCCCTCTTCGGCCCCGGTGCTCCCTGGCTTCGCCTCAGCTTTCAGCTCCAACTTCAATCCTGCTTTGGTCGCTCAGGCTGGGTAAGTATGTCTTTTATTAGTTAATAAAACTTGTAGGTGTTGCTACTTGTAGGTGTTGCTTCTCATTGGTTATTGAAACTTACAGTACCTAACTTATATACTATTATTCTCCTTATATATTTAATGCCTCAGCTGATGTTGTCCTTTAGGTCCCATAGTTTAAAGTCTAAATTTAATAAGCCTGATCACAAAACGAAGACATAATCCTCAACTACCCATTTGAACGGGTTAACACAAAGGCCACACAAATTCCAGTACATTCTTTGATTAATGCAGCAGCAAGTAACCAGTACGGTTCACTTCCAGAAAAACTCAGCTGAATTATTGCTATCATCTGTTTGTGTCAGCACAAATTAATTCTGAGGACAGAGGTTGAGCTAGTTTATTATCAGTGTTTGTACTTAAATGGTTTTATTCCTAGGGCTGTGTTTTTTGCAAGGGGACCTTTATACACACACTGACATTAAGTTGCATAAATGTACACACAAATTGTATTGTTTCCCACATCAGTACATAAGTTTTGGACCACATGTGTTGGACATCATGTTATAAGCTATAATGTTACCTATAATTTCATATTTCCATACTTTTTACAAACCGTAAAACTAGATAATACAGTCCGATAGTACAGGAATATAGGGGAGATGTTATTAATACCCATGCCCTTGGCAGCAGTGAAAAAATCCTTTTAACAAGCCCACAATTTTTAATGCTTTCCTTAGAATCCCTTTGTTTGTGTATAATGCTATTTACGTGCAGGCTATTCACAGTGCTGAGAAAATATTTTTTTGACCCTCCAGGATAATTATGGGAATTACTGTTTTTCATCATAATACCCTTGGTTAATCAAAACTGGTATTTTCCTAAATAACCAAGAGAGTCTATATTTCCCAAGAATGTTTTTTGAGACACAGTGGTGTATGAAATATTAAATTGCTAATTAATAGACAGTGTATATGAAATAATAAATGAACTTCTACTTTACCTGGTACAATTAAGGGCGTAATCAAGTGGTTGAATAATTAGGTAACAAGTAAACAAGAGAGTGTCTTTGTAGAGTTGGAGGAAGAGCATTCCATAATAAAGGAGCAGTGACAGAAAAGCATGGTCACCAAAAGTCCAAGATTTAACCCTGGGTACAGTGAGCAAAGGACCAGCCTCACATGAACAGAGCCTATAGGAAGGATTGTAAACACTTAGGAGTTCAGAGAGTCAGTGACAAGATCTTGTATTGAATATGTGACTTTATAGGCAAACAATGTATAGATTTAAGCATAGGAGTAATATGTTCCCAAGGTCTAGTGTGAGTTTTAAAGTCTAGCTTACAAAGTTTTAGACATACTGTAAATTACTGAGGAGAGTGCAAGGGTACCCATAGTGTAAAGACAGGCATTGATAGAAATTGCCAAGTGTGGGCAATATTTCTAAGGTGAAAAAAAATGTCACAATCAAATTTTTAACATGGAGCTCAAAGACAGGAGAGGAACAAGCATGACTTCCACATTCCCTACTACGGCTAATGCATGAATGGAAAAGACATCCACCATTACCGTAAAGCACTCCAGTCTGGCCGGGTGACATTTGCTTAGCTTCAGGGCATTTCATGTCATGCAAAGAAGAGATAAGTAATGGAGGTGGGAGATCAGAAGGGGAAGACATTTTAGCATAAATCTGAGTTTCATCTGCATAACAATGGAACTGAAGACCATGTTTGCATATAATCTGAATAAGAGAAAACATATATTTAAAAAAGTAGTGGGCCCAAAACTGAACCCTGTGGCACACCGTGATTGACTGTCAAACAGAATATGGGGCCATGAAGGATGCAGAAGGACCAAGGGAAACAAAATGCTGCTTGCTAGTCAGAGAAGAGCAGGATCAGTTAAAGACAGTACCATTGATAGACAAGGACATTTTGTAAGCGATTGAGCAACACTGAATGATTAAGTATATCAAAAGCCACACTAAGTTTAATGAGCATGAGGATACTTGTAGCCCTTAAGAGAGATGTTGTAAGTAAATCATTCACAACCCTGACAAGAGCAGTTTCAGTGTTATGACTAGAGCAAAAACCAGACTGGAATGGTTCAAACAAATCATTAATTATAATGTAAGCCTGTAATTGATGTGCAACCACATGTTCTAAAACCTTAAATAGGAATGTTAAATTAGAAATTGGTCTGTAGATCATCGCTATACAGTATCAGAATTCAAGCCAGGCTTTTTTAGGATAGGAGTGATTGATGCAGTCTTTAAAGCAGTAGGGACCACACCCATGGAAAAGGAACTGTTGATGTTATTGACAATTAACAGGCAGATGTCTGGCAGGCAAGCTTACAGTAAAGAGGAAGGGATGGGATTTAAGCAACAGGAAGTTATTTTGCAGCTGTTAATAATTTTTGTAAGTTGATCTGAATTAGCTGAGCTAAATTCAGAAACATCTTGTACAGAATGTCAGTGGAAAAGCTAGGACTCAAATATTGTCTGAATCCAGTATAAGGCTAATGCTTGATTCAGATAATCACAGATTTATAGCATCAATTTTGGGTTAAAAGAATTGCATGAATTTAAGACAGAGATCGGGAAAGAGCAGATTTGTCATTGGGTTTAATGAGATTGTTAATAACAAAGAAGGGCACTTTATGATCTTGTAGTCCAGAGCTGATTGTATCTGACATATAGGAAGATCTGGCAAAAGCTAGAGCAGCTCTATAGACGTGCCCTATAGATGTGTCCATTATAAAGCTGAGTGGGATCTACTAGGCCACAGCGTTCCAGCGCTGTACAGCTAGGCTCAGGTATATACAATGGAGAGGAACACTTGAAGGAATCAGAGAGTGTTTTAAAAAGGGTGAGTTTATTTTAGTTCAGCTGTCGAAGATGACCAGACTTGTAAAAGGGGAGAACTAAGTACAGCATTTCAGTAATCAGAGTGATTTACAGATTTCATATTTCTAAAACAATGTCACTGAAGAAATGGATACTGTATACAGACATCAAATAACAAAGCTTTATGATAATAAAATTGTAGGTCAATATCACGAATATCTCTTATCTTTGGGACAATTTGGACAAAACGACAGACAAGATAAAGGGTGTGACTACAGAGGTAGGTGGGAAAGTTTACCAGTCTCTCAGTGTGAGACTCTTGGTAACCAACTAGGAGCTGTTTTCTTTCACCTGTAACCCTTCACGTGTTCCTTTTTTTCCTTAAAGTGAATTAAGACCTCCTTAATGTGTGTCTAGGTTCCTTGAGAGATACTGATGTAGCAGCTCTTCATTCTTCCTCAATGTAGACTTCGGGAGACGCAACGTAAATGTGCTTTGCCTTTTCTGCAGGTTGACAACTGGTCTGCAGCCTGCAGGTGGTGCTGCATTCCCAGGGCTTCTGTCCTTCCCAGCCATTCCTAGCTTCTCTCCGAGCGCATCTCCAGCTGCTCTGTCTGGTCTTCACAATTCTGCAGTGCAGTCAGCACTGTTGCAGGTATTGAACTCAAGTCCTCAGCAAAGCTTCAAAAGAATTAAAGATCTCAGTCCTCCAAAAACAAAGTGCCATTACTTTTGTTTGCCAGATGTTTTGATGTAATGTTCGGAGTGATATGCAAATAATGTCAAAATGTTTAATTGCTGCTTAAGCTGTGTTTTGCAAGGATAGAAAATTTAGGTTGAATCACTTCCAGCCGCTGCAAGGAGATTGACCAGGTGCAGTGACAATCAGGGCCAACATTCTTGCAGCTGAGCAAGTCATTCTGCATGATTTCTGTAGAGAGACTTCAGTGTTTGCCAGTCATTCAAAGAGCGAGACTTTCACAAACAAAATAGGATCCGTAAACAAAGTGTGGAAAAATTGTTTGCTTTTTATTGAGGAGGTTTTGCCCATAAGACCTTAAAAGCTATACTTTGAACTTGGAGTGTAAGTTCTCAATTAATTTTATTTGTTATCCCAATGCTTATCGCAGCCCCTAACAGTGAATTATATTACTGTGATTGCATAACATACTAGATTATTAAACTTTTTTTAGCTTTTCCAATCTTAGTGCCTGGGTTCATATCTTGCTTTGTTCATTACAAAATGAGCTTTATGATTTGTAACTAACTCACAACGGACACTTACTAAGCAATTTGACTTCATTACAGAGACACTTGGTATGAGAATCCAAGGAGTGGGAAATATTGAGTCTGTACTGTAATCTCAGTTCCTCCCAAGTGTGCTATAACTCTCTACATAATTAGGTGAAGAACTGTTGACATCAGGGTATCTTAACCCAGATGTTTTGTCCGTTTATCCAAGCAATTCAGCTTTGACTAATGGAGTCAATATAAAACCACACGGATCTGCAACAAAGTTAAACAGTCGAATACTGAGTAGAACAACTTGCGTGGTCAAGCCTGGGTCATGTCATTAACTGATTGTGACCAAATTGCTTCAAGCGATGTCCAAGGAGAGTAAGATTAGTCAGCCAGCATTCTCTCAGCGATAAAACGGCTCCCTTTGGCCTCCTGGGAACTTGCAGGCCTGCTGTGCTGTCAGCAAGGGACACACATGTCCCCATTCGGAGCTGAACTTTCAGGGTGGGGCTAGGTTGCGTGTGATGAGTTAAAAAGTGGGCAGTTTCTACAGTGCGCAAGTCATAGGTGTCAGCCAACACTTCACATTCCAAAGTCATGTGTGCAGTCATAGGCTTCAGCCAAGTCATAAAAAACACTCATTTGGAAGTTCTTAGTTGCAAGGGTATAGCAACAAATAATTGACAATTCTCTTTTTTTTAAAAAAAAGTGCAGTTTGACAATGATGTACAGTACATCATACACATAAAGCAGTACTGTGAAGTCCAAGTATAGCGGTGACAGCAAGCCCATGAAGTGAGAAATTAAAATACCATCTAGATGTGGCAGAAGATTTTTTTTTCTTTTACTGGGAAACTGAATTTTCAAAACGCTGACAAGTCTTTCCAGCTTGTTTAAGAATCCCCATGTCCAGATTAAAAGGTATCGCGACTGTATGAAGTGGACTTTCACAAATCATTTATCAAATGAACTAAAACATTCCATTTATGATGTTTCAGGCACATTCAGCCTCTGCTTTGGAGAGCTTTCCGGCACAACCAAATGGCTTTACCAACTATCCTTCAGCACCAGGAACCCCATTTACCCTCCAGCCTGGTCTCCACCCCCAACTAGGATGGCAGTGATAAAGTTTTAATATCAGGAATCCATAGCAATTAACATCAAGCATATACAGTGATCACCGTTGACATCAAGAATACTGTATATAGTGATCAGCCTTGAATTTGAAAATATAGTGCTTGACTTTGACTTAAGAAATACATAGTGGTTAATTATGATTACTGGAATATACAGTGATCAGCTTTGACTTATGAAATATACAGTGTTCAACTTGGAATTATGGAAGATACAGTTATCAACCTTGACTTCAAGAATATATAGTGCTTGACCTTGACTTACTGAATATACACACAGCACAGTGCAGAAAGAGTAGAGCCAACTTGTTGGTGAAATTCAAAATGCTGTTTGATCATTTCTACACTTGAGTAGGAGGGCATTCGTGCATTTACATTGCCTAACACTCGAGAGAGGGAGAGAGCTCTCTTGATGAAGAGGAAGTTTTCAGAAAGGGTGTTGGGTATAGTAGATGTTAATTTTTGAATGTTTACAGCTACCTTACATTAGGGTAACACCTACAAAAGAGTTTTCAATTTTAACTGAAAAGATTTATAGGATGATTTCCTGATGATGTTTTTAAATTAAACTTACTTTTGTAAGTTCTGTTGTGCAAATAATTTGATAAAATGAGGACAGTTGTTCAGTAAATCTTTATAACTATTTGAAAATGATGGGATCACATTCAGGCAAAGAAAATAATAATCCACAGTGTACAGGTATGTGTGTTTGTGTATATATGCACATTGTGTAGTGTACCTTGGGTTTTTTTGTTAGTCTACAAGATTGCAGAGCAGACTAGATTTTTATTCATTATTATAATACAGAGTATGGTTTTGACTAAACATACAGTATCCCATACTGTCAAAGGTAAATAAATTAAATAGGATTACTTTTAATGAAATGGTGTGCACTAGCAATTACTGATAAAGCTATGAAACTTATAGAAATTATCGCAAGTCTTATTTTCTTTTGTACCTGTTATGATTGGTTAAACTGTATATATTTACATATTTTAATCCTTTTCATAGCACTGTGAAAGAGGCATGTTTTCTATGGCTGTATGTACATAAAGTACGCACCCGTGCATTCTTAAAAGATATTTTTTATGTGAAATCTTTGTGTTGTGGGCGGTGAAATTAACTCCAGCTGTGAATGAAGTACAAGCAGCCTCCTAATGTCTGACAAAAAAACAGAGGAAAAAATCTGCATCTTGCACCCACATTTGAATATTGGATTTGTAGTAGAACCTTACATTCTTGGTTATAAATGAGCTTTGCTTAGTATTCCCTGTTTAGCTCATACAGTTCATGATGTTCATTTTACTGGTTACACTAAAGGATAATATTTGTGATTTGTGATAGGAGAACTAGGACAATGTAGCAGCATAAACAACATCTTTGCAAACATTTAAGCAACAGTTTTACAATCTGTGCCCAGAAACATAACTCCCACACACCTATATACTGTAGTGAACAGAGTTGACAGATACCAGCATGTAGTGGCATGTTGTAATTGTTTTTCCCATTTCACTCTTGAATGTCCTTGTTCTCAGATCACAAAAATACACAAGAACAGTTGTAAATGAGAGACCATTCAGCCTGTCTAACCCATTTGGTATTTAACAGATAATTGATAACAGTGATCATCCCACAGTTTCTCTCTATACTTTCCATGGTCTTTTGAGTAACGTGCCTCCTGTTCTTGGTTCGAAATGGTCTTCTAAAATTTGTACTCAAAAGGTTCAGATACAGTACTTAAGCCTGTTAGTGTGTGACTTTCTCTCTGAAACCTGGGACTCTATCTAGTTGCTCTTCTCTGGGCTAATTCCAGTATTTGAGATATTTTTCAGTTCCTGTTTCTTTTTATTTGGAATATGTGGTAAAATAAACACCTGTCCAATAAATACTGTAGTTATACTTACTTATGTATACATAAGTCACTTGAAAAAGTCAACAAACTGGCTTGGTTAAAGCCAGTTATTGAGAGCTTGATTGGAATTCAGAAACAGAACATTCTGTAGACCAAGGACTGGAGACCACTGATGTAGATGCATTTGCGCGTAGTTCAGATTTTTGTAGGTTGTTTAGGACGTTTGTGATTTAATATTTTAACACAATCTACAAAATCTGGTTTCAATTCAATTATAGTATTTCTGTTAGAGTGTTTGTCACTGTCACTCAGTGTACAAGTACTTTTTCTGCAGTAAATTAATTCAAACTGAATTAACGTACAGTGCTTTTCACCGCGAAACAGTATCATTGACAACGTTGTGTTCACTTTTTATACTGTATATAAATGCACAAAACATTTTTAAATTGATTATGGTGTACAGTAAAATATCCATCAGGATTTTTTAATCTCACACCATCTGTTGTGACTTGTGCCATAGGCTATGTGGCAATGAATAACAGATACATTTTTTTTAAATGACCAGCTTCTAAGAAAAAAACTTGTGGAAATTCTGACTCCTACTTTCCTATCATGTTGTAAAACCGAAGCAATGAATAAACAAACCTTGGTGTCTGTTTGTGTTTAGTTGATGTGTGAATCTCAGAGAAGCTTTAGTTACAATATAATACCTCAGTTTGTATTCCCACTGATTATACTTCACTTTTTGTTTATAATTTCTCTGATTTGGCCAAGGAAGGTAAAATATGGGTCAAAAAAGCTCTGTTCCCCACATTTGTCATTTTGTCACCTCTCTCTCCACTGTAATATCATCTTTGCAGTAGCTTCTTGGCTCATTCCTACTGATGGGGGGAGGGGGGGTTCCAATATCCTCATCTTTATAGCACATTAAGCCAGATCAGTGTCTCAACTGCTCATTAATTAAACCGCTCAGTCCTCGGGTAAGTCCTTCTTGAATCCTTAAAAGTATAGAACTGAATGTAATAAGATCACTTTTATGTGTTTTATCTTTCAACCTGTTTAGTATGTCCTATTTTTACTTATTACTTTTACTTTGTAGTGTGGGGTAAACAGATTTTACTGGAAACCTGAGAGACCTTTACAAATGAAAAGATATAACTGCTGTGTAACTCCTTACTGAACTGAAAAACTGCTGAACCTCTTTTTGTAGAAATGTTTCAAATGTATGTAATAAAACAATAATGAGTGCTTGCTAATGGATTAAGAGTGTTTGTTTTGTGTTATCACCCAAAGCACATCAAAACATGTCACAGCCCTGTAATGGAAAATGTATCCTCTTTGTACATGTTGTGCAACTGCCTTTTTATTTTATGATGGCACTGTACAGTTGTAACCATGCTCTAGAGCTGGGCCCTGTGTCAGCACGGCTCAAACTGACCCATATTTATTGAGTCAAAATAAGAGGTGGGGTTAGAATATTACACAAAGTGCAAAAGACATGTAAAAGTTAAACTACAAACAGACCAGAAAAAAACAAGGGAATTTACAAAATCAATATATTATTCCATAATCCACAAACTACCAGGTTTCAGGTGAAATATCCTGGCTTCTCAATCTCACTGTAACAAAAAATGATTTTCATCCAGTAAGTTATTTTGATCACTGGATAAGAACAAATATTTTAGTTCGCATTTTGTATGACAATGTTTATATATCGGGAGGAAATGCAGCAGAGAGCTGTTCATAACATTTCATCCTCTTTGATTTTGTATTTCTTGATCTTTGATCACTGCATGGTGTTTTCTCCTCCAAACAAAAATATTGAAATCGGGAGTTATTTTTAGCAATTTCCTTTCATTTCATTCCTTTATTTGAGGTATTTTGGATAACTCATGTGAGAATTGCTGTTGTTCCATATATGCTACCACATTTTCTCTTGGTCTGTTAATCTTTTTAACAAGGTCAAAATGTATAAGCCCTTATTTCAGTGCACAAGATAAATGCAGTGATTGTACTCATTTTAAACCAGCTCTTTGGTAAGCATTTTTTATCAGCATCAAATTACAAATTTAATAGTTTGTCACTGTAGGAAGGTAGAAGGCAGATTACTGACCTGTGGGTCTACTGGCTCTTTGTAGTGGTGAAGCTCAATGCAGTCATAATTCCTAAAATGTCTTTATGGCGCTAACTTTCCTAAAGCTAAGTTCAAGTTAAACCACAGCTCTCAATAAGAATAGGCAAACATTTTTGGAAAAAAGCAGCTGAAAAAAGGGGGATCTTGCCGAGCTCTATTTTTGTTTATCAAACACATTATAGTAGTAGTAACTCTTAGGTAACTTTCAAACGTTTTTTCTGTCTTAAATCTGTTTTTGCCAAGTTTACTGTCGATGCAGAGAATCTGTGTGGAGCTCCACGTGACATTACTCAACACAGAATGGAAAAAAGGTGTGGTTGGATTGTGCAATCGTAGGTGTCAGGAAACTCTTTGAGGTTATCAGCATGGTTTAGACTGGAGTAATAAAAAGCAAAGGTATGAATGGTTTGTGAATTGCATAACTGTTCACCTTAGAAAGATCCAGTTAGATCACTGGAAAAATTACAATTCTTAATTGCTCAATGTTGCTGTTCCATTTAGTGCAACATCATTAATTACTTAACTGAAACAAATGATATACACCCTGTAAATTACTTTGTCTAAAAGCATCAAATAAGTTATTGATAATGAATCCACCTAATCTGAAATCACCAATCATATCTCTACAACACCCTGCAACTCACAACTGGGAACCTACTGAAGCTAAGATGGTGTGAGCCTGACCAGTACTTGGATGGGAGACCTCCTGGGAAAGCTAAGGCTGCTGCTGGAAGACGTGTTAGAGGGACCAGTAAGGGGCGCTCACCCTGTGGTCTATGTGGATCCTAATGCCCCAGTATAGCAATAGGTACAATATACTATAAAAAAGGGGGCTGTCCTTTGGATGAGATGTCAAACCAAGGTCCTGTCTTCCTGTGGTCAGGAAATATCTCAGGCATCCCTTGAAATGAGTAGGAGTTTTAACCCATGTGTCCTGGCCAACTTTTCCCCTTACTTTTACCAATCATGGCCTCCTAATAATCCCCATAATCTAAATTAGAATATAATTTGGGAAAATCTATGTAACAAAATAATAAATATATTGGTATATACAGTAAGAAAAGAAATATAAGACAAATTTGTAACTATATCGCAATGTTTCTATTTAAAAAAAAATGTGAACACTATTTTGCTTCATTGTTAGAAAACAATGTAGTGTGGTTTCATGATTTCACATGATGAAAATGTTCACGTGATTTCCTGTTGCCATAATAGTCCATGCGAAGGACTCACACCTGGGCTCTGACAACACGACAAGCTTGTTTGTCAACTGATACTGCTTCCTTCCCTGAACTGAAACCCATATCCATTGTTGGCTCATGGAATTAGGTTAATGTTTAGTAAGAAGGAATTTTAGGATATTCATTCCCTTAAAAAAACATTAGCCCATGGGATATGTCTTAAAAAAAAAGCAATTTTTTTTATTTTTAATCAACAAGCTGTTTCCATTCACGGTCACTGATGAAAACATCCTTTTCTGAATCTGAATAGACTACATCATTTTTAGAGTATATGTAAGCCATTCTAAATGGTAGACTAAAGTCCAGCAGAAGTCTGAATCCTGGTTCACTAGCCTTTTGTATTTCCAGGTAATTATTTTTATCTATTACTGTACTTCCCTGGGTAGTCGTTATATAAATAATTATGTCTGCCTTTGTCTTCTCCCCAATTGCCCCTGCTCCTCATCTGCTGATGCTGGATTAATGGTACTAAAGCTTTCAAAATTAATGTTTTGTCAGATTTACATCAATAAGTGTAAAATGAAATATTTGCATATTAACAGATAGCAGTAAGAGATTAGGAGACAAAGGAAACACATCTATAAAATACTATTTTATATTAGAAAATGTGCCATGGTGGGTTTGTCCTTTATTTCCACAGTTCGTGCATGATTGCAGTACACATCTGTAGGGGTTTTGTGCATTTGCTGGGACAATTATTAATTGTAGCAGTAAGTCACAAAGTGATTCTTTGATGGCTATTAGAAAACCAACTTTGTGGGATAACTCGGCAATGCACACACACGGATACTAATACATGAGAATACATTTATAAATACATAAAATGGAATATAAATATAACAGATCTTTTAGTGAGGGTTAGCAGAATACAAAATATATATATTCAATAACGAAGATTTACAAACCAAGAGGAACATACATTCAGTATACCATTCATTTATACCGTTTCGTAAATTAACTTTGATTACAAGTTCTACACTAGATACTCAAATGCAAGTACATCACTCATAGGAATTAAATTGAAATCAACTGGGTTGAGGTAACAATTGAATTCTCGAGCTGTAATGCAGAATGTTGAATACTCAATCCAATCTGTGTGGATTCAGATCTCCCGCGGACACAAAGGAACAGTAGCAGGCTGTTGCTGCGTCCAATCGGCGTCCTCTGGCCCGGTGCCAGGCCGTCCTGGTTCGGCATGAGGTGTGGGAGAAGGAGGGAGAGATTCCTGGTGCGGCGTGCTGGCAGTTACTCTCTGAAGACCGGCTAGTTTGTGCACATGAAAAATGACTGCGGGTCCAAGCAAGTCACACTCTTTAGAGGGGAAGAAGACCGGTTCGTTCCCGATGTAGCGCTTGTCCTGAATACTGATATTCTGCTGTCGACAGTTCCGACCGTAGTTCACTCGTTGATCAGGTGAGCTTTTGCGGTGGGGTACCGGCGGTTCACAAGGCTTGCTGCTGGGCTAACCTCGGGCGGATCCTTTGGTTACGCGCAGGCGACCTCCGGTCTCGACTCTTGGAACAAAATAAAGTCCTGACACTCGGACACACTGGCCGACACGTGATTGTCTGAGCTGAGTCTGAGAAGGTCCTGGAGGGGGGCCCTTTTGGGCCTTGTGCTGCCTCTTTATCTGGAGGAACTACAGTCGTTCGTTATTTGAAAGTTTCACGGGCATTCAAGACCCATGTGGGGTTGTCCTGCCCTACCAGTTTCTGATTGGCTGATTGAGGTGGAGGATGAGTAACAGTGCACTCTGACCTTAGGATTGTAAACCTTGGGATGAGACTCTCCCATGGAATCTCCCAGACAGGTAGGCACCAGAGATTACCATTTATTAGGGTGGCTGGAGAATCTCAGCCTTGGGAGTTGTTCCTTATCAGGAAACTCTATCAGCTAGAAAAACACCTTAAATCTGAACCAAATGGAAT